AGACCTGCCGTGGTATACTACTGTATACGACGCAAGACCTGCCGTGGTATACTACAGTATACGACACAAGACCTGCCGTGGTATACTACTGTATACGACGCAAGACCTGCCGTGGTATACTACAGTATACGACACAAGACCTGCCGTGGTATACTACTGTATACGACGCAAGACCTGCCGTGGTATACTACAGTATACGACACAAGACCTGCCGTGGTATACTACTGTATACGACGCAAGACCTGCCGTGGTATACTACAGTATACGACACAAGACCTGCCGTGGTATACTACTGTATACGACGCAAGACCTGCCGTGGTATACTACAGTATACGACACAAGACCTGCCGTGGTATACTACTGTATACGACGCAAGACCTGCCGTGGTATACTACAGTATACGACACAAGACCTGCCGTGGTATACTACTGTATACGACGCAAGACCTGCCGTGGTATACTACAGTATACGACACAAGACCTGCCGTGGTATACTACTGTATACGACGCAAGACCTGCCGTGGTATACTACAGTATACGACACAAGACCTGCCGTGGTATACTACTGTATACGACGCAAGACCTGCCGTGGTATACTACAGTATACGACACAAGACCTGCCGTGGTATACTACTGTATACGACGCAAGACCTGCCGTGGTATACTATAGTACACCACGTTGCAGGGGGTAATCATGAAATTAAGTGAAATACCGTAAAAAATCGCAGCATCGCGTGGTACAAAACTGTTTTTTGATTGGACAATTTGAATATGAGGTATAATAGAACGTATTATTATTTGGGTTATGTTTAGCTGGAATGGAACATTTACTGGAAGAAGACAGGAAGAAAAAGGAGAAAGCAGAGGAAACTTCCACACCAGAATACGCCATTGGACTCACCAATCCAGCCGAGGTTAGGGGTTATTGTATGTTTAACAAATCTTTGAGCAATTTACAGAGATCCATTTAGATCACACGATACTAACGATGCTAGTCGTATACGATTGTCATTCAGGCGTATGAAAACGACTGCTGACGCCACTATTCTTGTTCATCCGTTTATGGCGAAATTTGAAATGTGACATCTTTAATATATGCATTTATTCGAGTACATACGCCAGGATAAGAATCGTATACGACTAGTCGTATCGTGTAGATGGGTCTGTATGAATTGTTCCCATGTAGTACAGTAATATAATATTTTGTTGATAATTTAAAACGAAACAAGTCCAATCAATATAACTTCCGTACATCCGCGGGACTCTATAAGTATCTTCTTTGTTGATAATATATTGGGATTATATTATGTTGTTGTCCTGCAAGGACCGCAGCATCCACAAACGGTCTGTGCCTTTATAGGAAATACAACTATCTGAAAATATAACCAGCACTTGGACGTTCTTCGAAATGTTGAAGTCCTGCTTATATTTTTCAGTATAAGAAAGCTGTGGATTGACAGTATATTTCAGGAAGTTGCATACCTATCAATCCGAATCTTTCTTTATTATTGATCCTACCTACACTGGCACAGATTCTTCAACATTATGTTTTTCAAGTAGTTGTATTTCCTGCAAAGATTGCTGTTTCCTGCACAATCCGAACATCAAACGTTATTTTGTTGTTGTTTCAATATTTAGACAGCCCAACCAGCTGCAAGCACAGCACAGACTTCAACTGCAACTCCGTCGTATGCTTCCATGGCAGGACTCAACACACATCCACATCTTCCCACGACCAAACCTGATTCAACATCGCAAGATAACACATTGACAGCAAGTTCTGCAAACTTTAGCCAAGAGTTGCAGGTTAGTACAGTGGAGAGTTAAAGGTTACTGTTGTTGAGAGCTACATGTTATTGTTATTGTTATTGTTGCCGCTGTTGTTGTTGTTATTGTTGTTCTCCCTGTTGTTGTCGTCGTCGTTGCTGCTGATGCTGCTGCTGTTCATTATTTTTGCTGTGATTATTGCTGTGCCGTTGTTTTTTTTGCTGTTGTTTTTAGTACTTTGGTTGTTGTTATTGTTGTTGTTGCTGCTGCTGTTGTTGTTGTTGCTATATTGGATTCCTTGCCGGCTGTTTATAAATATAGATATTTTAGAGATAGTTTAACGTTCATAAATTCTATACCATAACGTTCATAATGTATTAATTGTATTAATCAGTTGTGTGAAGGTAAAATGTAATCGAAGCCCGTGCGATGAAATTGCTTTGTTTTCCAATGTTTTGATAGCAATACAGAAAGATCCAATCATCGAAGTACTAAAAATGTTAACGTTGTTTTCAGATGCATATTGAACGAGAACGTGAGAATATGAAACGTCGTCTGACTGCAACAGCAGGACAGCAAGCCACCACAGGACAGCCATCAACATCATTTAAATCTGTTTCATTGCAACCACCATCATCTCAAGCAAGTCTTCCTGCTCGGCGTCCTTCAGTACCAAATCAACCTGTTGCTTCGACTCCTGCACCAAAACGAGACCTGAAGTTAACAGTAAGTAATTTCCTGTCGTTGATAACGTTGTACTATAGGAGAAACCTTGCGATGTAGGATGGTGACGAAGACAGCTATTAAGACAATGAAATTTATAATATTTCGCGGGACGTTTAAACGTTACCATCGCTCTGTTTAACGGTAACCCACATATTTTAGTTCTTGTGTACAAGGCATACAGGGAGGCCGTACTCAGTATCCTGCATCACGACTGAAGTAAAAATCTTCTCGCACTAAATAATCGGTTAAAAATGCAATATTCCTAATTTTAGTTTTTATGTACAAGGCATGTGCAGTATAGAGAGACCGTACTCAATACTGGCTTAGTACTGAAGTAGAAATCTTCTCACAGTGAATTTCAAATTCAAAAATGTAATCAGTTAAAAATGCAATATTCGTACCTACCATCAATAAGGCCCTGCCTTTATAACCAGTGGAGGGATGGATAAGAGAACGACCCACATGAAATCAATCTACAATTGTTGTTAACCTGAATACTCCTGAATATTTGCATGCTTGTTCACGCGAGTGTACTGTACATAAATAGCTATCAGAAAAAAAGAGTATAACAGAAGATAATATCCTCTAGTGTTAGCCCCGGACAGCCGATCAATTTTTCCTTGACGAGTTCTTTTGCCAGTTTACTTGCTCGTGGACACGACGAAATGGTCTTTTTTCGATCAAGTGCTGCGCAAGTACTTATCAAGTTCTCCCCTATACGAACAATTTTCCTTGTTGAAAAGCTGGCATGAATTTTAATTACAGAATCATCCTCAGAGGTTTTACTATTTACATTTTTGTAGTCCAACACTCCTGAATGTTCATGAGATCAAAATTTTTTCCCCGTTGATCTTAAATTTCACCCTCCAGGCTTCATTCGTGGTGGGAAAAAACAAAGTTTTCAACTTGGTGGATAACTGGAATGTGTTTAAGTTGTGTTTTTCTCACAGTTCTCTTGTCATTTCCCTACAGCGTGATCAGATGTTAGCAGCCCAAGAGATGTTCCGTGATGCTAACAAAGTTACTAAACCAGAGAAAGCTTTGATCCTAGGATTTATGGCCGGGGCTAGAGGTATAATATGAGTGATACTGTATATACGTTAACCAACAGCGTTTCCTTAAGGTGGCAGCCATCCCAATATTTTTTCGTAAAATGGAAGATTTCTGATATAAATCCGACGTTTTCTAGAATTACTTGTTCTGAAAAATAAATGTTATCTGACTCGTATGAAACAATATCTATAGAGGTTGAAACGTTTCATGAAATAGTTTTAACTGCCGTTGCTATGGCAACAATGACGTTTTACGTTTCACTATGATTTTGGGTTCAAAAATGCCTTCTTTAATTGTTTTAAATTATTTACGACGTAATCACGTGAGCCGCGACCAAAAAGGAATCCAGGCATAATATTTGACTTTATTGTTGTTCTTTTTCTCAGAAAACCCATTTCCTGATCAAGGTCCAGTGATCACAGTAAAGTTGAGTGAACACACAGAGATAAGTACAAACACTCCACAAACACAACTTGTGGAAATGTTGTTTGAAATGAACTATGACACCGGACATTGGAGAAGATTAAAACGAACACGTGTAGTTGCTAGGCAACAGCCTGCAGAACCGAGTACACAGTAAGGCTGAGACTGATTCATGTAAGAAATCTTGAGATCTTTCAATATATAGATTTAGCTGGACCGTGCCAGCGTAGGTAGTGACAGAGACACTAAAAAACCGCAGATGGATTACAATGCCATTTCATGTGAGCCTCCTTGATAATACTTGCGATAGATGAACCAGGCGGAAATCGTAATCTTAAGATAAATATTAATGCCCAGCAGAAAATACGTAAAAGAGCCATAACAAAAATATAGTTTAAAATATTTATTAGAAAGCTAACGTTTCGTCTTTAACTTAAGACATCTTCAGAGCAATGACATACAAAGCGGAAAACACAGAAATATGAATAAATTACAACTATTTACAAGATATTATATTACAAAAGTAGAAAGAGGAGTATCACGAGTATCTGAATACTTGGGTGTTTCTCCTCTAACAGGCAGAAAAAGCAGTAATCCGACCATGTCTAGTATCCTTTCCCATCTTGATAGCACTGGTCTTAATGACTTTAAGATTATTTCTTGTTGCTCTTCTCCAGACGAACTCCTTGTTCGAGAAAGTCTTCTCATTAACAAACTCAAACCCTCTCTCAACTTACAGTACAAGGCAGTTCGGTCCCTCTACTTCTACGCTGATCCATTCCTCTTTCTACTTTTGTAATATAATATCTTGTAAATAGTTGTAATTTATTCATATTTTTGTGTTTTCCGCTTTGTATGTCATTGCTCTGAAGATGTCTTAAGTTAAAGACGAAACGTTAGCTTTCTAATAAATATTTTAAACTATATTTTTGTTATGCCTCCTTGATAAGCCTATGACTTTTGAGGCAAACATTCTAATAAAGTTTATATAAAAAAAAGATACAAGTACCTGAAAAATCCTAATAAAACTTGGACGTTTCGAGCGAAGGTTCTTTTGGTGACGTCGCTGGGAAGTGACTTGTATTTTTCAGGTCGTTCAATCCCTATCCATCGACAGTTTCTTCGCTGAATCGAGCATGTTTTGCTTGGAAGTAATGGGATCAAACGTCGTTGCAACTCTGGTAAACCTGTGTAATATACACCTTGAAAATAAACAATGCATCATCCCACCTCACATTTCGTTCTGGAAAATTTGAAATGTAAAAGGTAGTAACTGCAGACGAAGGGCCTTCGCTCGAAACGTCGAAATTCTCCTCATATTTTTCTGGTAGTTGCATCCCTACCAACGAAATCTTGTTCGTTTGATTGGCACGACCTACACTGGCACAGACAGAACAACCTGCTTACCTCTGAACACTGAGCAATCTTTCGTCTCTCAAAAACTGTAGATAAATAAATGAAAGTAAGGAACTATTGGGAGGACAATTAATATTCATCTGCAATGAAGAATTAATTTAACTGTTGTCATTTGTTACACCGTTACACGCTCACAAAAATTGAATGTGAATGTCGTGAGAAGTGCCTTGTTTGTGAAGTGCATTGTTTTTCGAGATGAAGTGCCTTGCTTTTCGAAATATTTCTCCAGCCTGACCGGCCGATGAACAATATGCAGAAATTGTAAATCAGAATATCAAAGGCTGGGTATTTCGACAAGAACAGGGAATATATACCGGGTCAAGAATTAGGTGGATTTCAACCCGTGAATTAAAAGAGAAAAAACGACGGCCATGTTGGTGCCAAATTCATTGAAAGATAATGAGATTCTTTTGTTGAAATACTACCAACAACCAACATGATGTAATGTGCAATCGGCCTATAACTCAGATATCGAAGATATGGCGATGATCGATCGTGACGGGAAACTAACGTTTATCGATGTGTATCACGTGATATGGTAAGAGTGAAAACGTGAACCCTTACAAAGAGCCACATCTTGGCTCTAGGTATGTGGCTACTATCATGGACGTCAATCGTGGGGGACGCGTCCCCCCAGTTCTTGGAGTGGGGGGGGGACGAATATCTTTGTCCCCCCACTTTTTGACATGTTTAATGAAATTTTGTTTCTTGGTTATCTAAAAACCTAATGCATGGTATGCTATTCATCAAAAATTGTGATTGAAAGGAAGACATTTAATACGAAGAAGTACAACTGACACAAAAATTGTGTATTTACCTATAACGTGAATGTGATTCTAATCGGAGAATTTTAGAATCATACGAGACTCGGGAATGAATGAAATGGAAGAACGAAGTTCTAAGAATTATATGTCTTCTTAAAAATATTTTTGATTCAGTCGTTGGTCACAAGACCTCTCTCCAACACCGAGGCTTTTAAAGAATTAATTTAGGAAAAATTTCCCTAATTGCGCTAGAATGTAAGAAAAGAGGTTTGTTTACTTTCTAGCGCAATTACGTTAATCCTTTATTATCCTCTGCGAAGGAAAAAGTCACAAGACTAAAGGCGGATCTCTTGCACAAGACGATTTTTGAGGCGATCGTCAAAACAGTTTGCGACGACACATGCGCAATTGAAAAAATGTTCAAAGAGCGATCGTCTGGCTCTCGACGAAAAGTATAGGATGACTTCTACTTTTTATCGAGCGCCAGACGATCGCCAAATTTTTAACCAATAAGATTCCGCACTTTTTTTCTTGCTGCTAGTACATCTCCACTCATCTCTATATCGTCGCGAATTTTTATGACGATCGTTATAAAAATCGCCTCAGAAATTGTCTAGTGGAGATCCGCCTTAACTATTCTCACTTGTATGATAAACAAATCACGAGATTGCTTTACATGTGATGTGTAGTAATTCTTACCCTCTGTATAATTATGATGTGCAACAACGAGATTTTGCATAATAACTGTGAAAGACTAGTCACCTTAATAGTTTGCACTTGTTCAATGTGATGAATGTCTTCATGGTGACGTATAAAAGGTAAAACATGTTAAACCAAATTTTTCAAATCAGTTGTTTCATATGGACAAAAACTCAGCGCGTGCATTAATAAATTATCGGCAAATTATTTGCACATTTTTAATCGCATCCCCACTAACTAAGTCCATGGGAGACTTTTACTGATTTTATAAATAAGTTTGTGAAATGTTCTGCTTGGTTAAAGATGATATCCTGGTGAATAATTGACAACATGAAAACACAGTGAACAAGTTGACGCCGTTCAGAATTTTTGAGAGATAACAAGAAAAGCCTGGAGAGGTTTTCGGCAGGTGGAAAGCAAAGGTATTTAATACATTATAAAGTTCCTTGTTCATCACAATATTGAACGACTGGAATGTATAAATGTGATGTACAGCAAATTGTTTACGATGGTACCAGTATTGTTCGTGATCATCAATGGCATTATATCTTGTGGAAGAATAATATGGTTTTGATATCTCTGAAGATGGTTCTGAAATTATTCATATTTTATGTCGTACTATACTTACCAAGAAGAATGTTTCCAATCAAAAGTCTTTCAGTTATTATTCTGTTCTTTAGCTTAGCTCGAAACCTATTGATTGTGGCTTCTATTTGTTTTTGCCAGTGCCAAGAGTACAATTTATTTCTGTATAATAACTATAATATAAGTGATTGTTACAGCTTGTTCAGTCTATGAAAACGAACAAGTTTATGCTCATGTCAGCATAATTCATGATCAATTCATGTTACTCAGTCTTTAACCTAACTGACTACGTAGTGTAACAAGTACTTTCTTTAACCTAACTGACTAATTAGTGTAACAAGTACTTTCAACATTTATTTCATTTGATTGAGTATTGTACTTCACTGATTCACTAAATTTTTGCCTTCAATCTTATAACTCTTGCAGGATTACACACGAATATGAGAATCAACTTATTCACAAGCTTGCTGAGTGTTTTGATAATACTATGTCTGCAAGGTGGTGTCAACGCAGGTATCATGATATATTCATTTTTAGCGTTTCTATGTTTTGAAGCCTGGTTCACACTATCAAAGTTTCTGTAATCACAGTAGGAATTTTGCATAGGGTTTTGAAGGATCTGTAAGAAATGATTGAGTCAGTTCCCTCAAACATTCTTACAAATTCTTCAAAACGTATAATTTACCCATGCAAAATTCCCATTGTGATCACAGAAACTTTGGGGATGTAAACCAGGCTTATCTCATGGTTCAAAGCAGTTCAACACATTGGTCTAACATCATATCATTAGAAACAACATTGTTGCGTCTGTTTGGCCATTATGTTATTATTATTATTATTGTCTTTATTAGGGTCCACTACAGTATATGTACAAAGTCTAATTATAAAGTCAATTATTCGGAGACCCTAAATGGGCGATGCGCAAACGGGACTCGAAGAACCATGCAAGGCACCTGCCCAGACTTAGTAAAAATTTACTGTTCTAATTGAAAATCTATACCGTTCTAGTAAACCTCGGAGGTGCATACGCCTCATAAAAATCGAGGGTTAGTAAAACCCCCAGTTGCTTCCCACAATGCATTGTATTCCTATGTTTGTTGATGTTGGGTAGGTTTGACTTCAAAATCTTCATCCAACATTATGACGGACGATGATGGACTGGTTTAGGACATAATGCTTAAATAATTTGCGAAACCGTAGTATAATACTAATATATGTTTGTACAATGGAAGAACTGCGTCCAATCTAGCACGAATGAAACGATTTTTCCGCCCACACGTGTGAAAAAGAATAACTAATTAAGAAATGGTAATATACGTTATTGTCGTGAGCAACAGGGGTTATTGAGGTATAAAAACATCGAAGCTATATAACCAATGGCAACGATAGTCTTATTTCTTGCCTGCAGTATTATTACCATAGTTACGATTTATAAAAATGAGATTATCTCTCACAGTATATATAGGGAATACACATAATAATATGAAACTAACATTTGAAACGCAAATTTACATGTCGTCATGTGGATAAGATCAAATGCGCTTTACATCATATTACACTTTATACCTTTTCACTTACTTAGCCTATTTTATTTTTACAACAATTGTGATATAATGATATTACGTTTCTTAACTGTCTTTATCTTAACCCACCCTGTGGGAGGAAACCAGAGCACTCGGAAAAAACCCACGACTTTCGGCAGAGCGTTGACTGACTCTTCACGTGAGTCCATAGCGAGAATCAAAGCCACGAACTCAGAGGTGAAAGACGCTTGCTCTGACGCCTGCGTCACAGAACCCGGCGTATAAATATAAATTTGTGCCATAGAAATGTTAATCGTAAAATATAAAATGCACCAGAGTATATTTTCATTTTCCTGTTTTTAAATTGCCTTCAATTTCGAAGGAAATTGTGGCCTACGTCTATTGTTGATGGGAAATATTTGGCGTATGTGAGAATCGCCTCATTCTCACACGTCCCAGTGAAGTCAATCACAACTCGCTAGCTGAGAGGGGGCGTGAGGGAGCTATGAGGGCATTAGGGAGCTATGGGGGTATTAGGGAGCTATGGGGGCATTAGGGAGCTATGGGGGCATTAGGGAGCTATGGGGGCGTGAGGGAGCTATGGGGGCATTAGGGAGCTATGGGGGCGTGAGGGAGCTATGGGGGCATAAGGGAGCTACGATTACAGATGTTGGTATTTTTTCAGAGGTATTTTTTAATTATTCTACTTACTTTATTCAACAGATTATTGTGCTGATGATGTCACTGCTGGAAAATGTTTTAGTAAGAAATGTTTTGATCTTATCTATAAATATATAGAGAATAATACATGAGTGCGCGGAAATACCAGATTGAGATATCATGTTCAACACGAGAAATAAATCTGGTATTTCCAAGCACCCATGTATTTTTCTGTTTATTATATAAAGGACAGTCTTTGAAAAGCGATAATTTTTACAGAAAAGCGATAATTTTCACATGTGAGATTATCATAAATAATCTCACATGTGAGATTATCACTTTTATCAGTGCTCGAAATCTCTATAAAGCACTATACTTTATATAATAAAAAATAATAATCAGAAACACTAGAATATCTATCTGCAATATCTGTGGATTAAATTGGTTTTTATAAAGGTTTATGGGATATATGATTTAGGGGTCTTTAGTTTCGACTTTCGTTTATTGAGTTTCTTACTCATTGGTGAGCGGATTTCCCAACAAGCTATTGCCCAGTTAATAGGGGATCCGACATTCCGAGGTACCTACGATTTAATTTAACTTATCCGAGAAGACGCAAAAGTCAAACCAAGTATTTAATACTCTTTTCCTCAACTTTAAAAACCGAGCTCGCTCGCTGAACCTTTTTTTGCCTAAAATAAATATTACGGTTCTTCACCTCAGGGGTCCTCTACCTCTCTGCACTACCTCAGCCCAGAACTGAAATTGAGAAAAGTTTTTAATCTAACCTATTAATTTTTATATAGCTATGTAAATAGTGTTCTAGTCCTTGTCTTTAATGTATGTCTACTTATTGTTTTGTATCAGGGTGGTCTTCACATGGGACTCATGTCCTGTTGACCATACCTTCAATCATTGTTATAATATCTTTTATAAGCACTTTTGTATGATTGTAAAGCTAATAAATAAATAAAGTTTGGAATTCTCTACCTACAGTTTTGCGTAATTCGGATACATTGTCAATATTCAAAAAGGGAATTCGTGCTCACAATTTCTAAAACATTAATTTAATTACATTTTGTTATTCAAAATATATCTGTAACATACAGTAGCATTGCTTGCATAAATAAGAGCTGTGTGGGTTTATGGGAGTTGAAAGGACTTATCAGGGTTATAGTTTTGGTGGTCTACAACATATTGTATTGTGTATATGTATTTATAAATAGTTTGAGTATTTTATATAATATAACACACGCCCCTCGTGGAAATCAGCTAATAATTGACGGGTCTAGCGTGTGATTTTTAAATAAAGTTTTACCTAGAGGTCCCACCAAGGATTGAACCCTGGTTTCCCACTTGTAAGGCAAGCGTGGTGAGCACGACACCACGTGCATGTGCACCACGTGCATGTGCACCACGTGCATGTGCTGGTTAAATGTGCTTTCTGCATGAAAGTTCATTTCAAAGACTGTTCTGTTAGGAATTGCGTGAGCGAGATAGCGAATATGATGACGACTAGTTAATGTCCCGAGTCCGTCTCTCCCATTGGTCCTATTTTTCACCTCTCATATTTTCGCGCCTTTTTTCACCGCTGGCGCGAATCCCTGTTTTCAACCCCTTAAGACGGATTTGAAGCAACTCTGTTGTTGATTTTTCTCTGTAGGAGAGAACATTGTTCCATTTGTGATAGGAGCAACAACTGCGGGATTTGTGTTTGGATTTTTTCTCCTCATCTTGTCATTATGTTTATTCTGTAACACGAAAGTAAAAAATGGCGATATTGACTGGGTCCATGACCGAGAGCCAAGTAACTGGGTCAGAGACGTTCAAGGGACTGTAAACAATGGACATCAGTTTGAACCAAGGTTGGTAATCTGATGTAAAGAAGGAGGGGAGGGCCATAGGACTTTGTACAAGGGTCACTGGTGAGATCTATATGGAAGAGTGTGCTAAGACATGTGACCTAACGGCTAACTATAGTGCAGGGCTAAACACCCCGGAACACTCAATGGCAGTAATATTCCACCTATACCTTCCACACCCTTAGGGATTTTCCAGTAAAGTGCATTCTTGTTTCGTGTTGTAGGAACCAAGGTTTGGGTGACAATAAACCACAACATTTTGTGTCAGACAGATCTCTGTATTCTGAACGTGCCACAACATTCCCGTCTTCCAACGCGAGTGACATCATGGGTGCAATGGATGAGATAGAAGATACGGAGTCTCGAGCACCATCAGGTTATTACTGGGCTTATGGTGGCCCTCGTGATGGTGGTGCTCGTGGCGGAAGCGTTCATGGTGGTGTTCATAGTGGTGGTGGTGCTCGTGGTGGTGGTGCTCGTGGTGGTGGTGCTCGTGGTGGTGGTGTTCATGGTGTTCATGGCATTCTTGGTGGCGATCATGGTCACGCTTTGCCTGAGAAAGAAAGAGGTTCGGAATATGAAACAATTACGTCATCGAAGAATGTTCATTCTGCTCAAATCTTGCATCATAAGAAATCTGGAAGTACAAAGATCAAAGATCTTTCTTCCAATGACTCAACCATCACTAATTAAAAATATCGAACTTTGTTTAAGCGATAGTTATAGTGCACATGAAATTGTTTGGGTTTCTTTTCGTTTGTGCACTTTATGCAAATGTTTTCTGCCGGTCGAAATATATTGACACTCTTGTTAGCTCGTTTACATTTGCAATTTTGCTACGACTTTTGCTTCTTCTGATGTATGTGAACGAGTAGTTGAATTATCATTGTTCTTAGTAAATGTGAAATTTAAACCTCATCGCTGAAATTTAAAACTCATCGTTCACATCCATCAAAAGAACAAAATCGTCTAAAATCGTAGCAACAATTGCAGGTGCAAACGGGCCTTATATACATCGGTCAGTTTACTATAGTCACGATTAAATGGAAAGCATGCACGCAAATAAACCGCGGTTTAATTTTTCAGTTGCACACAAGCGAGTTTCCAGCTTTGAGTAATTATAATGATTTCACCTTACAAAATCACAAAATGACCGAGAGCAGTTAATATAATAGAGAGGTTAAGATACCCCGGTTTACGGGTATGGGTGATATACACGTACCCGTAAATCGGGGAACGACTTGTAACTTAAGAAATCCAAGATATTCCGGCGTGTGAAAACCGATCAGAGAATGGTAACTTTCGCTGTTGAGGTTCGCCATAAATTGTTGAAAACTTTGACCAGCATATGTGCATTATTTATTTGGGTAAGATGTTGAAAATATTTACTATTTAAACGGCCCACATATAGTAAACAGAAAACACCCGTACCCGTTTGTCTTTTACTTGTAGACCTTGGTTTACCGCGGGGAAACGGATAGAAATTACGGGTAAAAATGCTGACATCAGCAAAAATTGCTAAACAAAATGACGATACTCGTACCCGTAAATCGGAACCGGGGTATCTTAACCTCTCTAATATAAATCCATTCACGTATATATTTTACATGTTTGAACAAATAAAGTAGTTTCATTTTATAACTTGTACGAAAACAAATTGAATGTGTGATCAACACTAAATTCGTAATTGTTTTGAATGAGGTTAATGTATTATGTTATGAGTCAATTTTTTTCTGTGGTTCATGTTTGTGATGAAAAATGTTCAAAACCGAAAATCTTTTTGGCGTACCTCTCAAAATTGCTTTGTTTTAGCTTTATTCTCTAGTTTTCAGTTTATATATGGTTAGCTACGTTTTAAAATGCATGAATTTGCCTGTTGATAAATATAAAATAACCTGAAAATTTGTCAATTAAAATACAATTATTTGTGCGATGTTACTCTGAGTGTATATACATACCGGGCAGGCTTGAAAAATATGCCTGGCCACGGCGGGATTCGAACCTACGACCTTTGGAATACTAGCCCAATGCTCTTCCAACTGAGCTACGCGGTCAGGTCGTAGGTTCGAATCCCGCCGTGGCTAGGCATATTTTTCAAGCCTGCCCGGTATGGATATACACTCAGAGTAACATCACACAAACATCTTATTCACCTGAGTACATTACACCAACACAGCAGATTTCATAAAATACAATTATCATGCATCGATGCTTGAAAAGCAATTGACGCCATACAGCAATTTAAGCAAAACCTACTGAACTTCAGACATCATCAATTCGACTTAATTTTCTCTTTGGCGTACTATCTAAGATCGCTAGCAGATAACTGAGTTAGATGTATGTTTCGTATATTCATATTTAGATGTAGGCAATATTAACCAATCAAAACTCGTGCAGCGACTAATAAAACTGATAATGCTATCGTATATGAACCGGCCACAGAAAACCCCGCCAACCATTTCTTGGAGATTCAAAAACTAGTTCCATATTATTCTGAAACTGCTGCATGAGGACAACAAAAAATTCGTCTCTATAGAGTTGGAATCCCGTCAACCCTCGTTTACACTCTGTCTTTTTGTTGTAGTTTCTAGTGCGATTTTCTTCTTCTGATGGATGTGAACGAGTGGATAAGTTATGATTGTTCTGAGTGCGTTTGAGTACATGTCCTCTCATCTAAACATTCGTAACTCATTCACTCGTTCACCTATACAACACAGGAGAAAAAAATCGCAAAGACAAAGTGTAAACATGCAGGCTTTCAAAACAATATGAAACTAGTTGGTATCACAGAGACTGTATATGCATGGTATCCAGTCAAAACGTCCCCAGGCCAAAATAAATGTTCAAATCTTGTGTTCAAATAAATTGAACTGCAACTAAATTATGAAAGAATAAACATGTACACAGGGTTACAACACAAGTTTTCCAAATTATGCGACACATGGGATTACAGTATGTAACTCTGAATTAATTGTTTATTTGGCAATGAATTTATTCGCAAAGAATTTAATAGTACCGTGGTTGATTTAGTTCCTTGATCAGATCAAAAGAAAACAAAAATATTATATGTGAAAATAGTTTAAAATTACTTTAAAATTGACAGAATATCTGATATTTAGCCAACAGATTTGACTTTAGTTGGGATATATTGACATGAGGACATTTTGACTTGAGTTGGGGACGTTTTGACCTGGGGACGTTTTAGTTGGTAAGCCTGTATATGTACGAAGCACATATTTGTGCAGGATAAGCTTGAATGATCCGGTATAGAAATTGCTCCACTCTTGATACATCATTTTCATATTTACATATATAACTACCATAACACATTGTTCTGAAAATAATGCTCACAGTTTGACTGAAACAATTAACACATAACTTTGCCATCACAAAATAACTCAACAACACGTATTGAGTTCGTCAAATAGACTGAGAAAATCTGGTTGTCATACTAAGAAGGTAAGTTCAATATGATGTGAAAGGATATAGGTGTATGATAAGGTACTTCACTGACCAGCTTTCAGCGAAAAATACCGACATACCCACACGGAATGAACTACTCAATTGCGTGTGTTTCATAATGCCATTACCGCTTACGATCTACTTATTCTCATCGCGAAACAACATTTGAAAAGCAGCGCTCTAATATATAAAATGTTTCTAAGAGACCAGATACTATATCATATTAAAGATTTGATAATGACATGAGTGTTGTCGAAAATTTACTTCGTGACACAAAATCTCCCACTGTGTATTAAGCGATCTAATCAATAATGAAGGCCTTTGAATTTCAGTTCTGAACTAAAATTTTGGCTATTTGTATTTTGACGTATAAATATCAGTAAACTTTATCCGAAATCACGTCATTAATTATTTGTCAGTTAAGAACCAATTTTACATCAAACATGACATCGACTGAAATAACAATCCCAACCAATGAAAATTCTTTAAATATTTTTATGAAGAAATTGTCGATTGAGCATGACAATGATCTTTTTTTTATCGTTTTAACAATTTAGTTAGAATTTACGATGCCCATCATAAACGCTAGTCATTGACGTAATTTAAATATTAATATGATTGCTGCTTATAAAGTTTATGGGTGAACTGTAGTTCGTCTGTTGGACAGAACGCTCATATATAATGGTCAAGCACTATAGCGGGAATTTTTGACTCTTACACAACCACTTTTATCAACAGGAATGATCGAGGCCGCCTGATATCTTGGCGTTGCCTGCATGCATTCTGGGAACGGTAAAGGCGATTCAGACAGTGATATTGAGTGACAGGCTGTAGCAACCTCAACTTGGTTACCAAAACAAATCATAAACATCTGCAGACTACAGTCAGTGGTCTTGCAGTATATCTATTTAATCGCATTCTGATGTCGCAGCGTTTGATTAACTTTTAGTTATATGCCAGTTGGATCATGTAAAATACGAATATACGCAATAAATTTGTGTGGTTAGCGTGTCTATGTTGTTCATACAGGAAATCAAATGTTTATAAGACTTAGTCTATACTGATATAATTTCGAGGCGGAACTGACGCAATATAATGACGCGATTTTTTGCCAAAACAGAGTGGGTGCATGGTAACCAATGGTGGTAAAAGGGGACAACAAAATGATTTAAATGAGATTATGAGGGATCTGGGAGGATAAAATATATGAGAGGAAAACTGGGGGAGTGAGGGTTCGCTCATTTCTTTTTACCCTAAAATTTGTTTTGACTCAGTGACCGTCTTTGTTGATTGTTGATTGAACAGAATTCCTTGACTAAACAATATACCATGCATCAACTAAGACGTTGTTTCTCTTTCTACGCAATTCCCATGTTGCATGCCCGAAGATATTTTGGACGAAACAATAATGAATAATAATTTATTATTTATATTGCGCAAATATCAATATGTTTCTGATCAAATACAATTTATTTGGTGTCTAAATATCCGTCAGAGTCAGCGATTCTAAATTCGTGCGTATATACTTTGTGGAATATGCAAGATAGCCACTTTTTCTTCTGATCGCGCATATCTGAACTGAAATCAATATTTATCAGATTACAAAGTTTCGGCGTAATTTTGCCATATACAAATTATCGTCAGTACAAATTATTTAATTTCCAACAAACTTTGACGTTTATATAAGCATGTTGAGTAAACGTATTTCACGCATCATATCCGTGCGTAGTTTTTCGAAACGTAAGAACGTAAGAGGAATGACCCTAACTGATATGCAGTTTTGTTCAGGATTTTGGCGATTTTGAGCCATTTATGCCGGAGTAACAAATTGTGAGTCTGGGAACGAACGCCGATTATTTTAATTATCTTAATGTTATGAAATGACGTGTCATAGTTCTATTTAACTTTTGTTAAATGCACTTTCTATATGAGCGCAATTTAAGGGCATACAACTATAATATTAATGCTGATTTCTTTCATTTTAGCTCAAAATGGCGAATATTCAAATGTTACTGGCGTTTGTGTTGATGTACTGTGGTCTTTGTCACGCAGGTAGGTTGTCTCAGAGTGGGATTAGGGGGGAGTTATCAGGCTTTTGTTTTCTTGATGTTTAATGCCTAATATAATTTTACTGGCTTTTTTATGAATATGAGGACTGAAGTGTCTGAATGAATTGATTTCTAATCACAAGAACAAAGACAAAGTATTCTTTGTGAATGCAACAACGTTATATATAATTAAACTTTCGTTGTCTGTATATATATAGCCATAATAAGCCATTCCTTTTATATCTCTTCATGACGTAATTGTTTGCAGTAATCTCGAACAGTCTGTGCCAGTCGTGAGTTGTGCCAGAGCACGCACTTCCCGACGAAGGACCTTCCGGCTCGAAACGTCGAATTTCTCCTCGTATTTTTCAGGTAGTTGCATCCCTATCATAACCGAAGTTTTCTAATTAATGGGAAAGACAATATACTGTGAATTTTCTCTTTTATTTTAGCTTTTTGTTCAGAAGATGAATTAGCTGGAAAATGTTTTGGTTAGTGTGTAGCTACTGTTTTGGCTTTTCTCAGGAATATATTTTTTATATTTTATTTGCTATAAACAAAACATATATAATATATAGCCTATAGGCATGTGAATTCAGTATGATTGTAGGGCATGATTGTATTATATATATATATATATATATATATATATATATATATATATATATATATATATATATATATATATATATATATATATATATATATATATATATATATATATATATATGTTAGTTGTGTAATTGTACACTCTTAGCCTAAATCCGTCTAACCGTGTAGGTCAGTAGGTAGAGCGTCGATCTAGTAATTCGAAGTTCGCGGGTTCGAGACCCAGCCGCGGCAGACAACATATTTCTGCTTGCGCTGGGTATATGGAAATTATATAATGCACACTCTAGAACATTTTCATCTTAATATATATATATATATATATATATATATATATATATATATATATATATATATATATATATATATATATATATATATATATATATATATATATATATATATATATATATATATATATATATATATATATATATATATAGTTATATATATATATATATATATATATATATATATATATATATATATATATATATATATATATATATATATATATATATATATATATATATATATATATATATATATATATATATATATATATATATATATATATATGGTATGGATATAGTCTGGCTTGCCAACGTTGATGTCACTTGTCTGGAGGATCCAAAGGATACACGACGCTTAAAATATATACAGAAGGAAAGGCGAACTCCAGACAGATCAGTAATAGTGTTTTATTACAAACGTTTCGCCAAAACAGGCTTCATCAGTGTAAAAAGTGAAAAACACAAGGAAGTTAACTCATGCGATATATAATCTAGCCTATGAATAATTAAGAACTAACAAGACGCTCTGTTGAGCGTTTAGTCGCTGGGCCTATTAAAATAAGGTCTTCTGCGCAGGGCTTCTGCAGTTATTGCTCTCTCTTCTGAGAGCAGTGTATAAGCGCAGAAGCCCTGGGTACTAGATTGATATTATTTATTGGATTTATCTGGCTTAGGCCAACTTCGAAGGCACTGGAAACCAAGCTTAAACAAATTTATTCCAACTCCACATTTTGACCCTTCAACTGATTTTCTCAACTTTGCTCGCAGGGTAAGCCTGTTACTGAGTCAATAAAAAGTGGACAGCGATTGGGATGCACAAAAATAACAACCAATCAAAATGGCGATAGTTAATTACATATCAGTCAATTCCAGCAGTGCCCATCCCCCCAAGGTATTAGCCATTTCTGGGAAGAAAACGGCTATGTCCACAAGCCATTTGCAATCAAATTAAATATCAGTTTTCCAGCAACTCTACCAAATCCCCTATGATGGAAAATGTCAAAATCCTCACCCCAGGGCTAAAAATATCGGCAACAGCCCCAACCCCGTGATTAGGAAAAGCTGCAAAGGCCCAGGGGTGGGAACTGCTGGAATTACTTGATACATTAGATTATCAAGGCTAATTTAAAATATGACAATAACGGCCAACTTTCCACCAATATCTCAAAACTAAATATTCTAATTTTCATCGAATGGTCAGGAATTACATATTAAATAATAATAATAACTGTTATTATATATCAATAGTCAAAGTCGCATTTTTCTGGTGTTTTATTGGTTGAGAGCATATCACGTGAGAGTGACGACATTAGGCTGTCTCCCTCGCAACAGCGCGAGAGGGAGATAATAGAGAGGTTAAGATACCCCGATTCCGGTTTACGGGTGATATACACGTACCCGTACCCGTAAATCGGGGAATAACTTGTAACTTAAGAAATCCAAGTACTCCGGCGTGAGAAAACCGATCAAAGAATGGCAACTTTCGCTGTTGAGGTTCGCCATAAATTGTTGAAAACTTTGACCAGCATATGTGCATGATTTATTTGGGTAAGATGTTGAAAATTTGTACTATTTTTAAACGGCCCAAAAATAGTAAACAGAAAACACCCGTACCCGTTTGTCGTTTACGTGTAGACCACTGTTTACCGCGGGGAAACGGATAGAAAGTACGGGTAAAATTGCTGACATCAGCAAAAATTGGTAAACAAAATGGCGATACTCGTACCCGTAAACCGGAACCGGGGTATCTTAACCTCTCTATTACTTTATCGACCGGCGAATAACAAAATAAATCACGTGCGCCATCACGTGAAGATGCGACCTTTGGACATGCCTAGTATGTAATTAAAACTTTCGCTTTAAGTAACTGCAGTGTAGCCAGTGTTTAATATAACGTTTTAACAATAAAATATTTCATGTATTTACGTTCATTTGTTCTTTAATTTGTTGTTTCTTTGACTATTGATATATAATAAAACACTTATTTACTGAGACCTCGGGAAAGCAGTGTGTTTTGTGGACCCTCGACCGTCGAT